AGTATGTCTATTCCTGATTTGTAGACCAGGTTTTAGTTATACTATAATCCTCTCAGTATGCCTGCTTAGGATCCCGCAATCACACGAGTCATGAACACTACCCACAAATCCTGCGGTTCCTGTGCCGAGCAAGTGACACACCAGATGAAGAGGGATAGAAAATATACATGTGGAATTGTTCTGGGAACTTAAAGCACATATAACAGTAAACAAAGCAAATATGGTGCAAAACCTGTTGCTATTTTCACAGCATTTGTGAAGCAAAGCTACATAGATGCCGAAAGATGCATGCTTCTTTCACACCTCCCCTCCAATCCCATCAAATTAAGCACAGCAGCACAAACAGCAGCAGGGATAAATACATGTTATGCACTGTTTGCTGCTGCATCACAGGGGCGTATACCTGCGTGCTCATGTGTATGTTTGAATATGGCAGAGACAGATGAAAAAAGAGCATTAAAATGATTTTTCCTTGTGACTCCCCTAGAGCCTGGGCTGCCAAAGGAGACTGAGCACACAGTCACCCCCATGGTGTTGTTGTTCTTCCTCCTCCCTATTTTCTCCAGGCACAGTCCAAGCCAGTTGGAAAAGGGTGCTGCCATCCTCTGCCCCACTTAGGGACAAGCAGCCAGCGCCAGTTTGGTCTGGTAGGAAAAACCTCCCTCTACTCCCTGCACTGTTGGCCACAGGAGCACTTGCTGAACAAGACATGCTACAGTCAAATTTTGGCTGGTGGAGGGAGAGGTGGCTGGTAGCCAGCTGATGGAGACAAGCTATATCAGCCTTTATTCTGGGGGAATCCTCAGAAAGCAAAAAGCAGAGGCGCATCAGGAAGGAAAACACAAGCAATCCTGTACTCATGAAGGAGACAGAACTGAGGAGATCAACATGAACTTAAACTGTGGCATAGGGCAAGCATGTGGCATGCCGTATGGAAACTCAGAACAAAACAGAAAGCTTGGAACAAAATGAAATTAAAAACCTGTTTTTAGTTCAAATTACTTTACTAAAAATCTAATTGAAAATTGTGTTGAAGTTGACATGAATTTTTTACATGCTGTTCCTTCAAGACTGCATTTTTCATCCAAAAAGAAGGTATTAAGAATGTTTCAAGCTGGCTACCATCCATTCAGTAAGGTTAGGAAACAGTGAATTGTGAGCTAAAATTAACATGACATCATTAGTCAGCAAAAACTAGTTGTGTGGCCAGCAGCTATCACAGTATTTCCTCCTCGAGAGGGAGGATGGCAATCACTAATACGTGGGTTTAGAAATATAAATGGGCTTGATAAATCAAGATTTTAAAAACAGGCACCATGCAGCTACCCTTTGCCCATTTTTTGTCCTGTTTTCAGCTGAGAAGATGTTAATAGAACACCACTATTCTGGTTTTTGCTGAGTGATGGGAGTGCACCCAGAGTCAAGCTGGGCCACTGGGCAGGGAGGAGTTGCTGCCTTTATGACACAGCAGCAGTGCTGGGGCAGAGCCAGGACAGGTGGCCTGGATTGGCCAAGGGGTTTTTCCATACATGTAACATAATGCAGAAGGCTATAACACAGTGGGGAGCTGGCCAGAGGCTGGCCTATGCTCCAGGGCTGCTGGGCATCAGTTGGTGGACGGTGAGATGTTGTGTTGGTAACAGGACATCGGTCAATAGGTGGTTGTATTGTTAGCTGGATGTCAGTCAGCAAGTAATTGCACTGGGGATATATATATAGACATAATCACATTTTTTGTCTCCATTTTCCTCTTCTCTCTTAGTAAATAGTTTTTACCTCAAACCAAGAGTTCTATTTTGTTTCCAGTTCTCTCCTTCACTCAGGAGGGAGCAAACAGCTGTATGGCACTGAGCTGCTTGCCAAGTTAAACTACAACACTGTTTCTAGACTGTAATCTACCCAGGAAAGGGCAAGCAAATACTCTTCTCCAAGACACATAATTCTTCTGTTTCTTCTCCTATGAAAAAGAGTGACCCTTCCACAAGCTACACAGTCCTGGGGAATGACAGCATTCTGTATACGGGAGGGTCTTCCACTGAGCAGCCTCACACTAACGCATCCTTGCAAAGGGATCTGGATTTGGCAGCTCAGAATGTATTTGAAGACTAAATTTTAAAAGAAAATTGAAATTCCTCTCATATGATTTTATAATAATATGTCAATGAAATCAGATAATGAAGAGTTAGATCAAGAGGAATTAAAATTCAGAGATTGGAATACCTCTACTAAGAGGAAAGACAGAGAGTTGGGACTGTTCAGCCTGGAGAAAAGGAGGCTCTGGGGGGGGGATCTCATAAATATCTGTAAATACTTCAAGGGGAGCACTGAGAACATGGAGACAGGCTCTGCTCCATTGTGCCCAGTGCCAGGACAAGAAGCGCAGAAAATTCAATCTAAATACAGGAAAAAAACTCTTGAAAGTGGTCAAAGACAGGAAGAGACTGCTCAGAAAGAATCCCTGATTCCTGGAGGTGTTCAGAAGATGTCTGGACATGGTCCTGTGCGGGGTTGGGTCAGATGAAGCCACGGGGCCCTGTAAACCTCAATTATTCTGTGATACTGTGACAAACAGATGAATTATCATCACTTGCACAGAACTAAATTAAAGAAAAATAATCAAGAAGTAATGGTAAAAAAAGGAAAAGAAAGAATTCTTCTATATTCACTATGACAAGAAAAGCTGTTTTTGTATTATATTTGTATTTACTTTAGTAGAACACCTGGGAGCATAGGGAGAATAGAGAAATAGCTCCACTAAACTTGGTTTCCAGGTCTAAAGCTTGCCCAAACTACCAATATGTAAAACTCAAACACCTCTGCAACACTAAAGTAAAAAACCATAGTCATAAATTCTCAGCTCCCCCCTGTTACATTCATTAAATTCAGCAGGAAGAGTAGAGAACTAATTTACATTGACAAACTCTATAGTGTATCAGTGAACTACCAGAACAGGAGCTGAAACAATTGTCAGAACAAGTGGCAATGGATTGCCTATTTCAGTTCTTGCTGTCTGTCCTCTAAGGAGTAATACAATCGCAGAAACTGGAGACAGGAAAACACCTCATAGGTTACATAGTTTATTTGCCTTCCAGTGTGAGATTCCTCCCTATAATAATTTTTAACGCTTGCTTTTGCCAAGCTAAAAGCAATGCGTCACCTCTAAGGAAAATGAGCTTGTTATGAGACCCCTTGGACATTACACTTTGAAGTACCCAATAGATCACGGTGCTGCATCGTATAACAAGGAAGGTGCCAAATTGTTCAGACAACACGCTGTACAAGCCTAGTCTGAAACAAAAGAGTCAGCTGCATAACAGCATCCCTCTGAGCGCTGGACCCTGATTTATACTCTCTTACCTCCTTGCTACAGCAGTGTCATCTCCCCAACATAAGACACCACAGATCAGTCCTGGCATACAGGTGTGAGACATGCAACCACAGTGCCAAGTGGTGTTAATATGCAAGAAATAGTTCAAGATCTGAAATGTGAGGTCATTTTGTGAGTCTCATATACTGCAGCAGCTTTACCCTCCCTCTGGTCCTTCAGTGGTCCAGCATGGTCCCAGAGGTCCCTGCAGAAAAATTTCCTGCTGAAATGAGAGAAACTTCACACACCACAATCCTACTCTGCTGAGCAGCCCTCTCAAAATCACTGGTCTCTTCTGCCCTGCAGAAGACTTCAAAAAACATGACTCTAACAGTAGTCACATGGAAGTGTTCACAAAGAAAAGCAGCCCTCAAGGAGGTAGCTGGAAAAGCAGACCACAATGACAAGCTGAGAAAATGTCAGAAAGTCGACACTATAGGCCACTCTCTGAACTCCCAATTTCATGTGAAGCATTGTCTTCACATGAAGAAGCTCCCACTTGCCTAGCCCACACCAATGAAATACCTGTGGTGCCATCTTCTCCTCATGAGATTCTCTACACCAAGACTAAATTGCACAAACATTGTCCCGTATATTTCTGCCCATCTGTAAAGGTAGTTAGAGATTTTCAACCACACTTTTAACTATATCAGAGACTCAATCACTGAGGAAGTCTAATACACTAATTGCCCAATATTAGGAAATACAAGTCCATTAAAACAATTATATCAAAAATAGTAAGGTAGCACAGAAAACATTAAGACACAATAAAATTATGACTGTTCACATAATCTTAGCTCCTTCACCATGAGAGTGTATGTTATGAACAGCCTTTTCTTCCCAAACAATTACAGTTTTTCTGCATATTTAAACACAGATGTGGCTGCTTAGCAACTGTAAAACAAAATAATTTACTTAAATAATTGAGTAGAGGTTAAGGTACTCATTTTAAAATACTGTATGTGCTTTATAATATTATTTTACATCTGGAGTGACAGGTGTATACAGATTCCAAAAATAAGTTATTTACCTACATATTTGTACTGTGAAAGAAAGATTTGTGTCTGCTGTGTGTGCATCCTTGTGAACATGTGTGTGTGCGCTTGCATACTTCCACTCAAGTTACCTACATTTACAATGGGTAAACAGCAAGAAAAAATTGGGAAAAGAAATTTCAAAAATGTTAAAACAATCTAGTAATGTGAAAGTAAATGTAAAATCTCTATCTTCATTCAATATATCAAAAATTGTCATGAGAATCAACAATATTCCTTTCTAGAAACATCCGTATTTAAAACTGGAGACAAACAGAAGAATACTGAAAATTCCAGTAGTTAGAAATATCACATTGCTACCCAACTGCAGCATTTCACTACCAGTTCTAAAGACAGACTGATGACTTTAAACAAACAAACAAATAAATACACAAAACAATGTCTGCATGAAATGTTTTGCTGAATGGAGTAGTCAACAGCATATAAAAATTGTTTTCCTGGAGCATGTATTACCTTGTATCACTTGCAAACAACACAAAGCCTTTGAGAAGAAATAATACATTTTGTTAAACCAACTTAGTCCAACAACACAAAACAGATCTTTTTTAAGCACAGAAACTTTTCTTCAGGTATCTTACCTATTTGTTTCCTGTATTGGTCAACAGGAGTTCTTGCCGTAGAGGCATCTTTCTTACCCATTGTTTTCAATTCAAAAATCACTGTCAGTACCAGAAAGAAAAAAAAAAAAAAGGAAAAAAGACATTACTCCTAAGTGACTCATTAAGGAAATCAATGAATTCTAACATCAGAAAAAGAAAACTGTAGCAAAAAACATTTCCTAAATTGCACACAAAGACAGAAGCCTACTCAGAGTACAATGAGATTCTGGATTTTATCATAACCATTGTAAATGCTATTAGATAAATTCTAAACATACCTTTTCCTCATGGCATGAACTATTAGCATTAAAGAATGCCTGTTACTTTAAATTAAAAAAAGAAAGATTTAAACTGATGGTACTGTAATTCACCATTCAGCACTACTGAATTTCATTCACCTTTTTTTTTTTTTTCTTTAGTAAATCACAGAGTGAAAGCAGTACTGTGAACTTCTCCTGTTGATGGTAAACACAGCTACAGCTGGCCAGGAGCCTGAGGCAGGACCAGGCGGTGTGTGCAACCCAGCCCGGGGCACCTACTCAAGAAACCTATCAGGTTTCCCCCAGGCCACCTTGAACACAAGATCAGAGCAATACCCCCCACTCTCCCACATTCATGCCGCGGCCTCAAGACATCCACAGGTGGAAAGCAAGTGAAGACTGGAGGTCAAAACTGGGTCTGCGCCCATTTTATGCCACTCTGCAAAAGCACTGACACTTTAAGCCACCCTCAAAGTACTTCAGTAACAACCACAAGTGAAAGGACTTCTTACATCTCACAGCACAGACGCCTGGCACTATGACTGCAGAAGGGACTGAACAATCAAGCTGCTTAAGGGCAGCAGCAAGAGCAAACTTTGGTCAGATGACCTTGCGTAGCCACAAACTGACTACAGATTGTGCACATAAGGCCTTGAGGAATACACAGTGGTTTCACAGTAGGCAGAACCAGCTAGAGAAGGATGTACAACCAGAGGAGATTCCCCAGGCCCTGCCAAGGCAGTCTGGGAAGCGTGACAGCTGAAGGCCCTGCAGTGCCAAACCTCACCCAGAAATGCAGGATGAATCCCTGCTGAGTGGGCTGTGAGGTGTCACAGCCTTCAGCAGCCCCAGGTATTCCATTCATACTCACAGATGAGGATCATAGTAGAGGATAACACCAGTGATGTGTGCTTTTAAAACCACAACACTTCTTTTTTTGGTGTTTACCTATTTTATTAGCACATACCTATTTATTTTAACCTGTTTATTAACATACAAAGCCAAATGACAAAACTGAAGCAAAGGAGATCGAATGCTCCTTAATTTAAGGGGTAAGACACAGGACCATCAGTAATCATTTCAAAATGCATGCACAAGTAATAAAAAGATACAAAAGAATGCTATTATTTTCTTAATCAGAACCAAAAACTCAATTACAGCCTTCTAACATTTCCACACATCACTGTGGTTTGATTCAGAGAATATTCCCTTTTTATCTAAAATGTACAAGCAGTCAGCTGTAACCAATTGGCATTTTCCCCCCTCTATTATGTTTCCCAGCTACTTTCTTGTCTGATATTCTCACATAAGGTTCCCATCATAACAGGAGTGGAAAATCAAGGTAACATTCTAACTTGCAGCTAGTTGAGGAGATAACAGATACGTTTTACACAGCAAAACTAGCTCTTGGCTTATTTTTGACTTTCCTCTTGCAATTTCAATAGCCTAACAATGTTTTGTAACAAAATGTCATCTATGAAAGATGTTTGCAGTCTTTGCAATGCCAACAAAGCACAAGAAGAAACTGCAGACAAAAAGCAGTAATTCCCATTATTTGAAACAAGGCAGGCCTACTTTGCAGAGTCTCAGCCCGTGTGACTCAGTGCTGCAGACCCCAGGACCCAGAACCTGCAAACGCTGTAGATCTCTTTTGTTCTTCAAAGCCACGCAGCCAGCATCCCTCACTGCCACCTCTTTGATGACTGGATAGCAAACTCCTGAGAAACCCACAGAGACATTAGCACATACAGCCGCAACGCCTAATAAGATAGCTATTTGCATAAAAGATCAGCCACCACTTAGAATGTGCTGTGATAGATGTGGAAGGGGAATAACAGACCTGTATTAGTGTGTACAAAGTCAAGCCTGTTTTCACAATGTGATTCCCCAGGGACCATGGCTCCTCATGTTCTCCCATGAAGAATCCTGTGTTACCCCAGGAAGTAACTTGCTACAAGCCAGAATTAAACTGAAATATGAATCAATAAGAGATTATGTACAAATCTTACCGTAGGAACAGCTTTGAATGCAACTTTCTGATCAGATTTCTGTACAGGAAAAGCCTGGAACTTTTACAATTCTAAAGCTGTCTGCTGTCTGAAAAGCTCCATTCCCCTCTCTAAAGCAGCAGTAGTCATCTGCAGTAATCAGCCACCTTCACTTTGCTGAAGGAAATGGTTGGACTGATTTCAGACCATTTAAAGTCAACATCAGCTCTCGAGGTTCTTCAAAAGAGAATTCTAAGAAAATGAAGCAAGGTTCACTGGAATGTTTTCTTGTTTATTGCTATTTCACAGATATTACAATGTCAAAGGATCTCTTTGTTGTGGTTTCCTTAATTGTTTTTCACCATCCTTCCCTCCTGTCTAGTATTTCACTTTTGAAGGCAGGCTTACATTCTCGGAAGATTCTGTTCCTCCTGTTCTATTCATTAGCAGTAACTGATAATAATTAATACAGAAAATAAATTGCCTATTATCACCTCCATCTTTTGATAGCATTTGTGAGTTATAAAGCAGTTCTGAATGTCCATCCAAGGTCTGACCACAAGAGCATTTAAATCTCAGTGCACGATTCTTGAAGGAAACACAGCCTGTTTCATCATTAACAACAAAGTAAAGCTACTACGTTACTGAAATAGATATATACCATGATGTATTTTAAAACTAACTTTAAATAAACATATAAAAACAATTAAGTACAGGGATTATAGCACAAAAACATCACTTTATGCATTCATGGTATTCATTGTTACCCCCCTACTCTGCTTTTCTGCCCACCTAAAACGGTCTTGTGAGATCCCACCTAGAGTACTGCATCCAGTTCTGGGACCCCCAACACAAGAAGGACACTGATATGCTGGATTGGGTCCAGAGGGGGGCCACAAAGATGATCAGAGGTCTGGAACACCTCCCCTGCAAGGACAGGCTGACAGAGCTGGGGCTCTTCAGTCTGGAAAAGAGAAGGCTCAGGGGGACCTTATAGCAGCCTTCCAATACCTTGAAGGGGCCTACAGGAATGCTGGGGAGGGACTTTTTATAAGAACCAGCAATGGCAGGACAAGAGGAAACAGCTATAAACTGGAAGAAGGTAGATCTAGTCTAGATATTAGGAAGAAATTCTTTACTGTGAGGTGCTGGCAACTGGAACAGGTTGTAGATGTCCCCTCCTTGGAAGCATTTGAGGCCAGGCTGGATGGGGCTGTGAGCAACCTGGTGTAGAGGGAGGTGTCCCTGCCTATAGCAGGGGGTTGGGACCAGGTGATCTTAATAATCTCTTCCAACCCAAACCATTCTATGATTCCATGGTGCAAGACAAATGGTTAATAATAATAAAGCTTAAAAATGTCTACCAGTGAACACACAATGACCTACATACATGTATATGTACAAACTGTCTTGGCAGTGATATCTGACAGTCCACTTTCTCTGTATATTTCAACAAGCTGCTCTCATATTAAAAAAGGGTACCTTAAAACAATAAAAACAATCAGCAGAATAACTATTTTTGTAGTTGAAACACAGTCAGTTGAGAGAAACACTAATAAAAAAAGAACCACTACAGAATGTAAAAGCACCGCAAGTCATAATTGAAAATGAAGTTGAACATACTATATCTGCATATATTAAGAAACATTATTTTTAATTAAAAATGGATATTAAAGTTAAAAAGACTTTTTTTTCCCCCCCATTGGAAGCAAGGCAGGTTAACAACTTCAAGCATAACAACTCAAACCATTTTTGAATATGATTCAAAGCCTACTATCAGTGAAAGAACTGGTTTCCATTAGTTACTTCCATAGATCATAGCTTAATAAATAACTCTATGTCCCTGACAAGTTACAAGAGAAAAAAATAGTATTTTATTGTCCTCAGATTAAAATAAATAAATAAATAAATCTAAGGAAAACCTTCAATTCTCTAGGAACATCAAGTTATTTCAAGCAATGGCTAGCACTGCAACTAAAGCAAGAAGCTGATTGCAAATACATATTTCAGATGTTATTACCATTGGTTATTTTAACTGGATTTTTATGTACTACCTAAGCACAGGGACGGAGGTCTGTGCAACTCAATAGAAGAAATTTAATGAAAGTAATCATTCACTGACTGATCTAAACATGTCTTCTGAATAAGTCTTTTAGTAGTCTTCACTCTTCCTCTGGAAAGTTCCTCTCCAAGGCTGGGAATATTTCAAAGGAAACAGTCCTTGCCCCTAATGCTTCTTGTAGAATCTAGCTTTGGTAAGATTATTTTTTTAATAAAAAGGATTTAATACATTTTTAGTTTAAGCTTGGAAATAGAGGAGGTCACTTTAAGTTCAGCTAACTTTGCAAAAATTAAACAACAAATAAACTCAAACAAGACTGTATAAATTCAGGTGGAAAAAATGTTGCTCAAATAATCCTAACATTGTAGATGAGGACAACAAACACACATTCCAGGATTACATCCATCTGGGAATTACAACATTTTTTCTGCCATATGTCAGGATGTTTGCTTCATGTAAAAGTAGGACCAAAACCTCCCCTAGGTACCTAGCATTTGGTGGGTTCAATTAGGCCCAAATATTTGCATTTGCTCATTTAGCAGGAAGTCTTACTTTTGCAAGGTGCAAGATGTTTTTAATACCTGAAGAATTGAAAAGATTATCATTAAATTTGTTCAAGACAGCAAGAAAAAACAGTGAAAGTGTTCAAGATCGCAAAACTCAACTAAGATTTTTTTGAAAGACTTCACACTGATGTAAATTTTTTAAGCAAAAAGACTTAAAATTGTCAGAGATCCTTTTGTCACCCCG